GGTAAGGCTAGAGGCGATCGTGAGGATGTATAGTAATGTTTTAATAAAAAGAATAAACCCAAGTTCCTGAGTAAAAGGATCCAGAGCTAGCAGGTGACCTTGAAAGGTAACATAGGATTTTGAGAGCCATGGTTATTAAAACCCTATAAACATTTGCTTCAGTCCATGGTGAGAAAAAAAAAATCTTAATGCAAACCTTAAAAACAATATTTAATAACTTCCCACATAAAGACACAAACACCACCATAGAATTTATTCTCACTTTATTAACAACGTGGCTTACAATGTTTTTCAAGTAAAAAGGGTTTTTCATTTAGAATAAAAATTAAAATATAACTCTGATATAGATTTTCATTTATTTACATGAAAACATATATACAGAATACAATCTTACAGCAAACCACAACATGCCCTTTGTCCTGCAAATATCGAAAGTAAAAACACCAACTTTTCCCTTTTATGCACCAAAACATACACAGGATATGAATCAAATTCCAATACAAACTATTCAAACTGGAATGCAAAGCAGTAAAAGGGCTTTCGTTCACAACTAGGGGTAGTTTATGCTTCTAGATATCATGCTGGCTCCCATTTTGAACAACAAATGAGATGATTTTTTTTTTGTCATTTAAAAACTTTTGTCTCCGATTGCCCACCGTAAAGTGATTTTCAGCAAATGTTTGTTAGAACTTTACTTTTTCTTCAGCACATCTCTTCGGTCCACATGAAGTACCCACTCTGCCTGGTGATGTAGGTCTTGACCTACTGGGACTCCCTGGTATCCTAGCCTTTTTTAAACAAAACCAAGAAAGTGGAAAGTCTGCAGCTCAGGAAATTGTATTATTACTGTACATCTAAACCAGAGATTCTTTTCTTAACCAAAGCCCAAGGCAGCATCATGTGTCAACACTTAGAAGTTTTAGGTGAAATAAGTGGGTCCAAAATAGCACAGTTGGATTTTACCACATTGTGTTTGGGATACATATAAATCAACTCTAGTGGTAAAAGCTATGAGAGTCGCCCAACGTAAAAACTCAACTAAGTTGGAGTAAAGCAATTTCCAGAAAACTCTTTAACAGAATAAAACAAGTGAAGGAAAAAGAGAATCATTACAGTGTAATTGTTGCCAATAGAGCCTCCCTTGCTATTTAGTTACTGCACCAGAGAGACACAGGCAGTATGTATGTCTTCCCAATGATTACTTTTTCCTTAAAAGCTACAGATACCTTAAAATTTACTATTTTTCCCTTCAAATAATTGCACGCTTAGCCACAGCTTTCTAAAGACAGAATAGTGTAGGACTTGGAGCCTAGACTCACCATCTTAACCAAAAAAGCAACAATGATGCTCAAACCACAAAGACTTAACACTACTGTTTTTATAGTTCTATCTACAGAAATAAATACAAACGGGTGTTCGACAAAAGAAGCATGAAACCCCTAACACTTCAAAAAGAAGGGAGAACAGCCCTTAGAAAGGGGCGTTTGGTTTAAGATAAAAGGCAAATCTCAGAACTTGCCTGATAACAACACTCAAGATTCTGTGACACAAATTAAGGAAACTAAGACCAGTCTTCAAAGGCTGATCAAAATCAACCTTCCAGAGACTTCAGTGTGGGGCAAAGGGGGCAGTATGAAAGGCCTGAGTCATTTTAATTTATTGAGGAACAAATCAAAGCAAACACAAGAAATCATCTTTCAAATATGATCAAATAAGGCAAAGCAACCTAATAGCTGTACAGCTCAAGCACTCTGAGTCAAACTTTGATCAAATGAACCTAATTTTAATAGTGATGGATTTCTCCACGCTATGCAACTCTGTGGTGAAGGAAACCGGGTTTTTGCTGTTGCTATTTTTCTTTTTAAAGCCAAGAAGTTCTTCCGGAATGGTGGCCTTTCTACGTTTCTATTTTTGTGGACAGGATATTTTCCTCACACAGGACAAAAGCAGTCAAGAGGTCAGAGGTCGATACAAGCTCCATTAGTTTTAGGGCGGGACTCAGTGATGGACTCTCAGCCTTAGAGATGAGGTGGCATTTCTGCTTTTCAAGTGATACACACTGTACATACAGACTGCAGGGTCTGCTCGGCCGGGAAGGGGAACACAGTTCTCGGGCCGTTCCCAGAGGTAATAAGCAGCCCGGTGTATGCCGGACGCAGGTACACAGAGCAGAGGACTCTGACCCCAAAGCGCTGTCAGAGAGACAGCGGGGAGATGGGAGCATCTGGGGATGAAGAGGGGAGGGGGCATTGCCAGCTGGAGTGTTTCAACCAAGAAACATTTATCTTAGGGGCTGGGGTGCATTGGGGGCTACAGGTGTGAGAGCAACTCTTCCCGCCATAAGGGACGAAGACAGAGTAACAACACTGTAAAATGTTCCTTGAAAACTGGCCCTTTCTCTAAGGCAGAAGCTGGTGAGAGGTGAATCCTACAGAGAAATGAACACCACCTCACACTTCTGCAGCCCAAGTCCTGCTGGCGTGAAGCACAGACCCCCATCACACAAGTTCCCAAAGAATCTGAATTGGAGGGCAACGCTGGCAACACTCAGAGAGAAAGCATCTTCCTGCCCCTAAAATGTTTCCTGGCTCGCAGCAGGGCAGGGAGATGGCATGCAGACAGCCTTTAGAACGCTTGCCCCAGAGCCGGGTGTCCTCTGCCTCGGCTGCAGCCGTCTCCCCGCCAGGCACACGCAGAGCGCATGTGGTTGACAGGGCGGATCACACAAAGAGACCGAGAACAAGGAGAGCTCTGGGCATCTGGTCCCTCGGGAAGAGGATGCCTCCCGAGCAATGGTGGCCGTGTCTCCCTTGGGCTGCCGGGTGGGAGGCCTCCAGTTCCTCTGGGTGGGCCCCAGGGACTCCTCCTACCCCCCGGAGATCCACTTATTCCCATGCAGCACCCTCTCCTCTGGGCCATTCCTGGAACGGGCACGAGAAGGTGCCATGCATTCTGAAAGGAGGCTGCAGCCCTCACGTCCCTTCATTCCTGTCCCACATGCAACAGGAAGAACTCAGCTCAAAAAGGCCACAGTGAAGGATCACAAACGTGTCAGCAACAGGAAAATGCCCCACACTGTGAAAAGGATGCCCTTTCCAACTGGTTGACAGCGTTCAACTCCACGGGACTGAGCGTTTAAGGCCAAAAGCACACGGCTGAGGAGGCAGCGGTGGGGAACCAAAGAGAGAAATGGGACCTCAGGCCAGGCTGGGGTCCTCACGGACGCTGCCCATCTGCACAGGCCAGGCACTGGGCCTCCCAGCAGAGGCAACCAGGCAAGCCCAGTGCCAAACGTTTAAACTTGACTTAGGATCAGCTACAGGGGCGACGACAGTCTCGACCACTAAATATATGTTTTCTCTTTTCATCGGTAACAGTGACAGAATGTTGACAAAGGTCAGACTTAGTGATGGAGTCTCCCGAAATCTGACAGATAACCAGCCCTCATGTGGCAGGAACATGAACAGCTCGTCAGCCAGCCCAGGATATTCTGCCTGGAATTGCTGGCACTGTCGTCAAAGATGAGAGGTCAAGGTAACCATGCTCTTAAAGGAAGAGGAGGGTGTGCAGGACCCGCTCGTCCTGGGCAACGTGGAGCCTGAGCTTTCCTCACACAAGTTTAAAAAGGCATTTGGGCAACAACCAGCACAGAATACAGTGGTCCGTTTGGGCTTCAAAGAATATACTGGATCCGTCCAGGGTGCACACAGACGAAGCACCTGGTACAAAAGACCAGCTGGTCCCCGGAGCCACGCATCTCTCTACAAATGACTAGACCCACTTAATGAAAACAGCCAAGAAATGTCCTAAGCAAACCAGAGCCGGAGTGAGCTGCAGGAATTACACACTCTCTTTTTCTCGCTTTGGCCAATGTGGACTCTGCCCTGACAGCAGGAGCAGGGTAGGGACAGGGGCACATGTGTCAGCACCACATGTCTAAGAGTTCAAACCTGTTACTCTACCGCAAGGAGGTACAGGGTGATTCAAAGTCGGCCCAGATGACGGGGTCAGTCAATGGCCGAGCCAGCAGAACGTGGGGCTGCCTCCAGGGCCAGGGCCAGGGCCCCTCATCACCCTGTGGTAGAGGCATGTGCCGGGGCAGGGGTGACTGAGCAGGGCAGGGCTTGGAGGGAACCTCCTCGGGAGACCCAGTACAGTGTCTGTCTAAGGGAAGGAGCTGTTGGATCAACAGCTTCCCTCGGGTCTTTTCCCCATTCTTGTTCTCTGGAATGAAGCTCTGCCTTCAATACACAATTCAAGATGCCCCAAGAGACTAGAGGAGACCCTTCCTGACCTGGTCACAGTTAAATGAGCACATCGGAGGTTCCGTACAAGGCTGCAAGCACACCTCCTCCCTGCAGACTTCCTGGATGCCCATCTCCCTGTCATGACACCCGGCCTTCCTTCTCTGCCCACTTCCTGAAGTCTCCTCCGACAGGCGGAGTCCCTCCTTTGCTAACCGCCATCCTGAAACATCGCCCAGAGCTGTGCGTGAGAAATGAGTCACCACCAGATCAAACTGCAGTGACAGCTACATGCGTGTCGACCTGAAAGAAGCATCTATGGACGTGCCTGGGAACAACCACACTAAAGCCGTCTGCAAGGCCTCCTCCTGGGTCACAACCTAAAAGACATCACCTGCGCCTTAGTTTACAAAGAAGTGTGGGCCTTGGTTTAGGAAACCTTGTTCCGAGGAAGCTGCCTGGTTTGGGGTGGGAGAAAGGCGGGGGCGTGGTCTGCAGAGATGCACGTCCACATCTGCAGGGTATGAGCTGAAATTCACACCTGCCGGAAGCCACTGCTGCAGGGCGCGGGGTGCTTTGGAAACGTGGAAACCTCGAGCAGGCTGGTGGGCAGAGGAGGCCCTCGCGCTTCTTGCCTTGTGGGGACACAGCATGTGCACCGCCTCACGCATCCCGGGAAAACGGAAGTTCCAGTCCCGGAAACCTTTCGAGACACGAGACGTTGCATCACCAGGATGGCGAGCGGAGCGGGCGGGGTCAGTTGGCGTACTGGGCATAGAAAGCCACCTTGACCCTCTCGATCTGATGGCACAGCTTGATGGCGGGCCCCAGCTTCAGCTCCATGCACTCCTGCACCGTGGGGAGAGTCAGCAACAGGAGCGCCTGGCCGTCGATATCCTGCCAGGAGACAAAGCCGGGTTAGAGCCCAGGCGGGACAGGGGGTGGGGAACACGTGAGCCACGGCGGCCTTCATTCCGGGCCCAGAGCATGGGGGCGGCTCTCGTTCCCTCTGAGCCTGCTGAGCGCGGGCCGAGACGGCGACTTGGCTTGATGGCTGCCTGATCTCTTGGCTAATAAAATCTTTCTGCTAAGATAACATTGGCTGCTATGAAATTCACCAGCCTGGGCTGGAGGGGATGAAGAGCTGGACTGGGCTCTCCCTAAGCCCACAGCCTCTTGCTGGTAAGCCCCAGGCCCCGAGATCCAGTCCTTCCTGGGCTTTGGTGTCCTCCCTCTGCTCTGCTGTGACTACCTGAGCCCTGGAAAGGGCTCTCCAGGAACAAGAGAAACGTTCTCTCTTCCCTGCCAAGCCCTGACAGTTTACCATCAGAAGGGGTGAGAAGATGCCAAAGCACGATCTTCCACAGAGGCGAACACATGTACTTGGACACGTGTGTGTGTGCACGTGCACACACACACACACCCCGCATTTACAACCTGTGTCACCCAGAATGAGGGGTCTGAGGTCTACTCCCTGTGCTATCTTACTTAGCCCTTCTGCATCCATACCCAGGGGTCCCCACAATGGAGATATTCACTCAGTCACCGTGAAATTGCATTCACTGTAGAAAGAAAGGGCACAAAGGCTCAGCGCAAGGCTTTACGATCACCCCAGTGGGCTTTGCCTCTTCACCAGCTTGCTTCCTGTAAGAATCGGGTTTATTTATCTAGACATCGTTTGATTGGGTTACTGAGTGTCAAGGCAACCCCTCTTCCTGTTCACCCAGGCTTCATGTTCTGGAGGAAATTAACGAGGGCCCAAGAGCCTGCAGGCCCGAGGTAATGATAAAGGTCGTGGTGGGACAGGTGCAGACACTGAAGTCGGCACACACACCAGGCTCTCTGCCACGCGGAGAGGCAGCGCCCCAGGGCTGCCGTGAGCCACAGAGACGCAGCAGCCACACCATCGACGCAGGCACGTATCTCAGAGACCACATGTCGGTGAGTTTCACATAGGCAGTTTTTCTTAAACTAACGGTTTATTTAGCTGTCTTGAAAGCAACTAAAGCAAATAAAACCCAAAATGGGTATAACTGTTAGCCTTGCCTTCGAAGACTAATGTTAAGGATAAACAACATTTATCATTTGATCGGTTTTGAAAGCCACCCTGATGCACTATTATCCCCTAAGACGTATGGAAGCAATAAAGAACTTAAAAAGCATCAATGCAAATGCCATTTATTATTGTTAAATTACGGACAAGCACTGGCTGTGATGTGTGCAACTATAAGCCACGTCTCAACCAAGACTCAAACTTGACCTCGTCAAACCACAAAGTGAGCAGAGCGGCCTTGAGTATGCCGTGAAAGTAGGAGACAAACTCATAAAACTGTCAATGAATTTCTGATGCTATATCTTTTTTCCCTTTACATGTGCCTTTACATGTTATTTTACATTCTTTTCACATGCTACCTGTAAGACCACGAAGCAAATAATGGTACCCCGTGGCCTGGGGCCTGTTAGCTGAGTCCACTTTCAGAGCCAAATCCACATATATTCTATCGAAACTAGACCTGGAGAGTGCAGGCCAGCAACACTGGCTGATCTAATTAAGATCACGGTAGCTGGTAAGAGACAGTGGTAGAACTACAATCATGGTTTTCTGAAATTAAACTTTGGGGGTAAAATTGTAGCTTAGCTCTTCACATCTGCACCAAGTTGTGATGGCTATCCTTGGACACACAGATTAATTACAATTGAAAATCAGCCCTAAAATATTTGTGTAACTCTCCACAGTCAGTTTCAGTGAAGGTGGCTGCCATATGCATGCACCACATTGAGTGGAGGATGTCGCTGATTTAATCACTCAACGGGCATTTATTGAGCACCTACTAGGTGCCAGGCACTCTGAAGGCCTCTGGGTGCACCACACTGAACAAAACAAAGACTCCTGCCCTGGAGATGCCAGGAATCTTAAGGGAGGTAGACAAATAAGCAGACCCCTATGATATAGGGAACTTAATGTATGGACGTAGTGCTACGGGCCCCATCAGGCCAGGCTACAGAGCCGACCTTACAGGAGTCAAGGAAGGCTTCAGAGATTAGACGATGAGGTACTCAGACCTAGGGGACCAGTGGGAAGTATTAAGGTGAGGATGGACTCAGGGAACACAAGTGGTTCATCAGCGCATGGAACTCAAGGGGCGCGGGGAGACACTGAAGGCAGAATTGAGATGGGCCCAGACAGGAACTGGGGACTTACTCTGGAGATGTGTGATAAGTAGTCACTGAAGGACGTTAAGCAGATAAGTGACTTTATCAGGTGTGTCTGCAACCTAATATTGGCCACAGGGTATCAGAATGAATTAGGCGGTAGGGTGGGGAAGGGATGAGAGGCTGAAGGCAAGGACCTTTATTAGGAGGTGGCAAACTGAGTCCGCTGAGATAGCGCGTTGGCCAGAACTTGGATGCCTCCCGTCGGATGCATTAAAGTTTACTGTAAAGCAGATAAAACCACCACAAACTGGGGGGAAAAAGCCTGCTACGTAAACAACTGACAAAGGATGGCAGCAGTATGCAGAATACAGAAGGAGCTACTACAAATCAATAAAAACAAGATAAACTTTTTTTTTTAATTAGGCAAAAACCATGAGTAGGTATTTCACAGATGAAACAAAAATGCTGAAAAATTTAAGAAAAGATGCTTAACCTTATCAGGAATCAGGAAAGTGCAAATTAAGCCCACACTACAATATAATTCTATACCCACAAAAGTTAAGAAGTCTGACAATATTAAGTGTTGACACAGAGGCCTCTACATGACGAGGAGAAAGGGACATTCATATGCTACTCTGGGAAACATTTTGGAAATCAAACAAGAGCACAAAAAACACAAAATTCAGAATAGTATTAACTGCCAGTGGAAATAAAGGGGAGTGTGAGAGGGAGGCTGGCCTTGGTACATGCGGCCATGCTGCAAAGTTCCTGATTCTTCCTTGGGTTAGTGGCTTTCATGGGCGTCCCTTTTTTTTTTTTTTTTTTTTTTTTTTGCGATACGCGGGCCTCTCACTGTTGTGGCCTCTCCCACCGCGGGGCACAGGCTCCGGACGCGCAGGCCCAGCGGCCATGGCTCACGCGGCACGTGGGATCCTCCCAGACCGGGGCACGAACCCGTGTCCCCTGCATCGGCAGGCGGACTCTCAACTACTGCGCCACCGGGGAAGCCCAATGGGCGTCCCTTTTATTAATAGGCCCCATATGTACAAACAGTACATATACTCTTCTGTATGCACAAACTAGTTCTCAATAAAAGCATTTCAGTGCATCCACATCTCTGATGTGAATCGGTATTTCTCACTGGTTTTCTTTCTGAAGTGAAAGTTTCTACACTTTCCTGACACACCACAGCCAAGGAAAGAGAAGGAATGCCCTCCTAAATTCATGGATCTTAATTTTGGGGGAGGTGTTATAAGCCTTTTAAAGCTGTTTTCATGTCTTTGCCAAATATTTATTAAATTATTCATATGTCAGACCCCAAAGGAGATGTGGGAGATACAAAATGAGTGAGACTTGGCTTCCTCCTTCTGCAGTGGGGAGCAGAAACACCTACACAAGTAGCTACCAACGGCAAATTTGGAAAGATACCCAGAGCCAGAGATGGGCCCCGGGACACTCACCCCAGCTCGGGGAGCCAGGGTGGCCTCACGTTTGACTGCCTTGCGATAAGGCATATCAATGTGGGCATGGGGTTTTGTTTTCCCCTGCTCTATCTTCAGCACTTAGAAAAATGCCTGCCGGGCACATAATAGGTGCTCATTAAACATTTGCTGAATAAATAAATGGGAAGAATTGGCCTCAGTAAACTTAAAAGTCAACAGAAGGGTAAAAGAAAAGGGTAAAAGATGGAGAAAAGGAGGTGGAGGAGCAAGACAGGGGTGGGGATTAAGAGCCCCAAAACAGCCAATATTTTGAAATAACTATAAACGTAATATAACCTTTAAAAATTGTGAATCACTAGTTGTACACCTGAAACTTATACGATATTGTGCATCAACTGTACCTCAATAAAAGTGTTTTTTTTTTTTTAAATAAAGGAGAGGGTAAGAGAGAATCTGGAAGGTGAACAGAAGTGGAGGAGAAAGAATAGGGTATTCTTGGGCTACCTTAGTCTGTTCCGGCTGCTATAAAAGAACACCATGGGATGGGATGGTAGCTTATAAACAACCAACACGGATTTTTCACAGTTCTGGAGGCTGCAAGTCTAAGATCAAGTAGATTCAGTAGGGTGTCTGGTGAGGACCTGCTTCCAGGTTCATAGACATCTCGCTGTGTCCTCACAGCAGGGAGGAAGCTGTCTGAGGTCTCTTTTATAAGGACACTGATCCCATCCTGAGGGCCTCACCCTCATGACCTCATGACCTCCCAAAAGACTCACCTCCAAATACCATCACACTGGGGGTTAGGATTTCTACATATGGGTTTTGGGAGAGACACAGACATTCAGTCTATAGCACAGACACCACAAGCAGTGTCATAAGGCTCCTGCAGGGAGAGCTGTGCCATCTGTCGGGTGAGCTGGAATGTACCAGAATGCACCTCCCCCCCCCCCCCAGTGCTTCCTGCGAGGTGCCTCAAGCAGGCTGACAGGGACCAAGAGTAGCTCCTTTAAGTCAAGTCCTCAGCTCCTGAGGACTCCCTACTCTCTTATGGGATGAAATGAGGACGATGACAGTGCACTGACTGAGCCGCATATAGCCTCAAAATAAAAACTCACATCCAGTGATGAGGGGGTCTCCAAATCCCCAAATAGAAACTCGAAGATGGCCCTTCAGTTTGTCTTTTCCAGGGCAGAGAGTGGGAGTAAACGCAGTGTTTATGGAGCTTTGAGGACCATGGATTCCTTCCCATACGGCCCAAGTGTTGACCCTGGGGGATCCACAGCGCCTTAAATCAACCAC